TTCAGATTCTAATAGGTGAAACCAACCCCGAAGTCGAAAGTTGGAAGAAAAGGAGCAATGACCGGACAAAGAGGAGGAAACATCTTGTGTTCAAGATCTGCCATTGGAGTTCACGGTCTTACAGGACCGTGAACTAAAGCCATAATCCATGAACAAAGGAGGGTCCAGAGAGGGTTTTGAAGTTACTGACGCCAAGGTTGTTCAAGGTCTCAAAGACTGTGAACTCAGGGATGTGAAGCGGTGTGTTTTGGTTCAGCACACTGTGTTCAAGGACGCGTTTTGATGTTCACGTCTGTGAACTGAGGTCTAAGACCTTGAACTGATCAACGCGTCCTTGAACCGAGACCTTGAGCTAAGACCTTGAACTGATCAACGCGTCCATGAACTGAGGTCTCAGACCGTGAACAGAGACTGATCTGGGTATAAAAGGAGAAGGGAGCTAAAGGAGAAAAGGGGGGAGCTTTTAGTGTGTAGAATAAAAGAGGGTTTCTAGTGAGAGATTATGGTTTCCTCTTCCTAATATATAGAGAGAGAAAGTGCAATACAAAGGAGGAAGAAGGAGATTTGGGTTCATTTCAAGCTAGAGGAGTGAAGGTTTCTTCTTCTCAAAGGAGATTCAAGCAACAAGGAGAAAATATTTTCATCTCTTTATGGTACTTTCTCTCATTTTCCTTGTTTTTCTTTGCCTAGCTATTCACTTGGGTGTTTGTAAACCCTAGCTACAATTATGTGAATGCTTGTATGAATTGAATTATTTGTGTGTGTTTGTGTTTTAATGTGAATGTGGATGTATTATTCAGAAATGATTGTGTTGTGTGAAAGCCAATCAATCTAATTGCCATTCTAACCTAGCTTAGAGAGGAGACCTCCTTAGGTTAAGAGGCTCAATATTGAGATGGGTGTTCTTGGGCATTTCATGCCTCCTAGGCTAGTTTAGAGAGGAAACCTCCTTAGGTTAAGAGGCTTAATTTGAGATAGGTATTCTTGAGCATTTCATGCCTCCTAGGCTAGTTTAGAGAGGACAGCTCCTTTATCCAAAGAGGCTAGATTTGAGCTGGGTTTCCTTGGACATCCAATGCCTCCTAAACTAGTTTAGAGAGAACCCTCCTTAACCTAAGAGTCTCTATTAGAGATGGGTTTCCTTGGGCATTCAATGCGTCCTAAGCTAGTTTAGAGAGAACCCTCCTTAAACTAAGAGGCTCTATTAGAGATGGGTTTCCTTGGGCATTTTATGCATCCTATTCTAGGTTAGTTAAAGGTCAAACCTACTATTTCGCATTAGCACTTAGGGTTTGGTTGTGGGTGGCCGTCCGAACTCTAATTCGAGGGTGAAGTCTATCCATTCCTTAATCAATAGGTTGAGAGGGTCACATTAGTGGCTTGGATCGTATCCCATTGCTCAACCTAGAGACTAAGAGGGTAGCTTTGGCTGCTTGTTAGACTTCCCTGCGGTTTATGACCCCCTAACCACACACAATCGTTCGATTCTTCAAGTCGTAATTGTTAGCTAGGGGGAGCAACACCCGAGTGAACTTTTCTCTCATTGGGACGACCGCGATTTACTTTACTTGCTTGTTTTTATTTGTAGTTTTCTTAGTTTTAAACCTAAAATCGTTTTGCTAGATAACAACCTAAGCGATTGAAGTAGGGGTACATTGACCGAGCCGGGTTTGACGATTAAATACTTGCCCTATACTGCACCTGTCTAGAGTTTAAAAACTTGGGCTCTAGTTGTGAATAATTTGCGGTGTAGTTTCGTGTGAGTTATACCACAAGATATCATCCCATACCAGGGCGCAATTTTGTGGTATTTTTTGGTGAACGGCTATTTGCCGCCAACTATAAAAAAAATTGAATTCAAAAATTGAATTTTCCCTTCCTTTCATTCTATAAATTTGGATACCAATAACATTTGACTCATTCCAACAAAAACTTCTGTCGTCAAGCCCAGTGCCTCCGTCGCCTGCCAACCTCTCGTGGTCCTCAACTGTCAGAAAACAAATAAGTTTAATTTCTGGCAACTTTTCCACTTTTCCGGGGAGATTTGGTTACTGTATTTTGCTCACCTAGAAATTTGTAGATCCAATAGATCTTGATGAACTAGTTCATTTTGTGCAAAAAAAATTAAAAAACGACTTACAAACAATGAAGATACCATATGTTATGCAGTTGGTAACGAGAGGCAAAAAAAATCTTAAAAAATATTAAAATGGATCTCATTTTGTAGAGCACAACGAACTTATTCAATCTCTGAAAAAAATTGAAATCCGAGTTAAAATGAAGAAGATATGAGCTTATTAAGAAAATAAAAAAATGACTTTAATTCTCCACCTTTAGATCTGATTTTCTGGACTTATTTAAATCTTATGGCTGAGATTTGGTTACTCATTGATCGAGTTACTGACTGTATATATAGTAAATCCATACCCCTTCATTGCGAGGAAAAAATTTCAAAATACATATCTTTTTAAAAAAATTCTCAAAATACACACGTTATGAAAAAAATTCTCAATCTACGCATGTTTGGGCCTTCACCGCGACAGAGAAATGCGCTGATTGCATCACCGCAGGAGAGAAGAGCTGTGATTGCATCATCGTTGTAGAGGAAGGTGGTGATTGCATCAACACTATAGAGAAAGGCGGTGAATGCTTCACCGCGTTACCCGGACGCGGTGAAGGCCTGACCTGCGTCAAAATTGTAAACAAACGTAACTTTGTGCTCGGTTATCCGATCGTAGCGAATTTGTTTTTTATTCTGCATAACTTTTCGAGATCTTGCAAGCCGCAAACGCCATAGGCGGTTTGTTCCAGCCTTCGTCCCCAAAAAACATCGTTTGCTACCCCGAACGAGCCTTTTTTCAATTTCGTCAAACTTTGAACGATCATAACTTTGTGCTCTGCAATCCGAAAGTCATGAAAAATTTTATGATTTCACATAATATTTTAAGGACTACAATTTTAAGTACGAGAGAATTTTCAAAAAAAGAATTATTTTTGGATATACGGGGTTTTGGGAATAACTTTACCGCGTTTGTGGCTTGCAAGCTCTCGAAAAGTTATGCGAAATAAAAAAAATTCTCTACGGTCGGATAACCGAGTACAAAGTTACGTTCGTTTAAGCGGTGATGCAATCAGTGCCCAATCACCACCCTCCTCTCCTGCATCACCGCCTTTCTCTGCCGCGGTGAATACTCAAACATGCATAGATTGGAATTTTTTTTCATAACATGTGTAATTTGGAATTTTTTCCTCATTGCAATTAAGAGAAGCATTGTGCGGCTGTACTGCGCACCCTAAAGGAAGCTTCCATATCATTGAGATGTATATACGGTAGGATTATCTAATTATTGATTTTTAATACATAGCTGTAGTGAAGTTACCATTCTTAGTTATCCCAATCCGAATAGGTTTTGGTTTGCCGCCTCCTCCTGGGACACGGACAGACATCTCTGTATTATAAATAAACTACCCCACGACAGAATGAGAGCATCGCTTAACCATTAGCCAATCTGGAATCCACAAGCAAGCAGCAGTAGTCTAGTGATCGCAGCCTAATTAACTATATATGTCGACGACGTCGGGGCCTTATGCAAAATACTATTGCCCGCCGACGGAAGGATGCCCGCCGCATGAGGATCCGGCATGGGTGCATATCTTCATGTGGAGTTGCTTTATCATCTTCATCCTAACGCTCAATTTCGTCATCTGCTGGATGGCCTACATCAGGCAGCCCCTCGGAGACCTCGAGCAGGGTCAACGCCCTCCTGATCATCAGCAAGAGAATAGTGGTCACAACAAGGTCAACGTCGGCGTGGACTTCGTTCGTTGGAAAGCTGCGGGGTTAGGGTTGAGGGACGAGGTTCTCACTAAAAGTAGTGGCCGTGGCAGCAGCCTCGCCCAACAAGAAGAGTGTGTGATTTGTTTGGGGGAGTTCGAAGATGGGATGGAGCGCAGCGTTCTTACTGTGTGCACCCATTCTTTTCATAAAGTTTGTTTGGAGAGTTGGCTCGTTATAGGCGATCGTAGGATCAACCCTACGTGTCCCCTTTGTCGCGCCTCCATCGGACCGCCATATGCTAGGGTTCGTACATGAATGTTTTCTTGGCGCGGTTGTAAGAATGCGGTGTAATTTCGTAATACTGTATTTGCTTTGCAAAGATTTTTTTTTTTTTTTTTGTTTGTATAGAAGGTATATGAGTTATGTTGAAATTGTGTACATACTAATTACTATTAAAGGAAAATTAATTACTTCAAATGTGTTAGTTATACGTCCTAATCGACTTCGTTTAATTTGAAAATCATGTGTAGGACACGTACATGAATGTTATATAGGCACTGTAATAAGAACATGTGTAATCTCATTATATTGTATTTGGTTTGCAAAAATTGTAACAATTTTATTATGTATTTTGTATTCAAGGTATATGACTCATGTTGAAATTGTGTACATACTGTTAGGGAAAAATTACTTTCATACTTACCATCCCGAGCATTTGACAAATTTTACATTACTGGTATGCGAAAAAAGTTATTTATTTACCTAAATTTTGTTAGAAAAAAAGATCTTTCAAGCCAAAAGAACAAGTAACATAAAAAAAGAAAAACTGGAAAAACATAAAACCCACACCAAGAAATCAATTTTTCCTCCGGTAATTCAAGAAATCAATTTTGATTAAAACAAAAACCCCAAAAAAATGACCTCGCAGCCATAACGAACACCTAACAAACACAGAGGAGAAAAACAACCCGCTCTTTCTCTTCGCCCCATATTTCCCCCGCCCACCGCCACCACTTCCGCCGCATTCCAAAATTCCACCCACCGTCTCCGCCAGCCGGAGACCAAGATAGAGAACCATTTCCAGATTAATTCGTCCATTAATTATTCTTCTTCCTCCTCTCCTCTTTGTTAAATTAAATAATTTTGTTCATCAATCAAGCAATCAATTAGCCGACGGAGACAGAGCTTCTGGTACACGAGGCGACAAAAAACGGACGGTTGAATGGCCGCCGGGCCAACGACGTTCCGACTGAGTCAGCTCCGCGACATATTCGACCGCTTCGACATGGACGCCGACGGCAGCCTCACCGTGCTAGAGCTCGCCGCCCTGCTCCGCTCCATCGGCCTCAAGCCGGCCTCCGGCGACCAGATCCACGTCCTCCTCGCCGACATTGACGCCAACGGCAACGGCTCCATCGAATTCGACGAGCTGGTCTCCGCCATCGCCAACGACATCGACGAGCAGACGCTGGTGAACCAGGACCACCTCCTCGAGGTCTTCCAGCTGTTCGACCGGGACGGCAACGGCGTCATCACGTCGGCCGAGCTGGCCGGCGCCATGGCCAAGATGGGCCAGCCCCTGACGTACAACGAGCTCAACCAGATGATGAAGGAGGCTGACACAGACGGCGACGGCGTTATTAGCTTCACGGAGTTCTCCACCGTCATGGCCAGGTCCACCATGGAATCTTTGGGGATGGCTGCTGATCCTTGATTGACTAACTTGTTTTTTTAGATATAACCTAGGGTTTAATGTGATCAGATGTGTACTTCATTTTAAAAAAGGATTCCATACAATTGAAGTTATTAGTCTGTCCATTTATCAAGAATCATTCTTCATAACATACCCCCAAATAGAATCATATCCATTTCAATATTCTGAGAGACCTCTTCAATAAGTTTATCATGATCTGCACTCACTATATATGTTCTTGGCATCCATAAACTCTTCGTTGACGTTGAATTTTCTACATATTCCTTTTTCCACAAGTTCACGGCAATGTTCTTAACCCAGCATCAGCATACTCATTCATATGCTAATCTCTAGTTGACTCCTCAAACTCTCTTCCATCACTTATCAAGTCTTTCAAACATGAAATTTAGTGAACCAAGACAGCATATAACATTTAGCAGGGATAAAATTATATATCACCGGAGCAATCGTCATATGCAAATAGAATCGTTGGTGCCTCATGCTTCGATTTTCATTTTTTATTATCAATAAGTAATGTAGAAATTTTTCCAACTTATAAATGAAGGATAAATGGGGGCCAACTTGGGGTACTGATACGAGCACGGAAGTTGTACCCGTAGTTATCAAATTACACAGCTTTAAGAACGAACAATAGAACGGTTGTTTAGGTGTTTTTGTTTGTAGGGATAGGGTGGAATTGAACGTGCGATCTCAACATGAGTTGGGAGAAGGCTCGATCAATATGAAAAGATAGAATCTCGACCACTATCAAGGAGAAAACTTGAGATATACAGAGAAAAGTTCAAGCCTCAAGCTCAAAACTAAGGTAAAAATCAATATTATGCTAAAAACTAACCATAAAACCCGAGTTCCAGTCTTTATATAGATCTGGACAATTAAAAATAGCAAAAAAAACTTTAAACACAAAATCTCGTCAGTCAAACCCGAAACCCGGGCAAAATACCCGATCGGGTGTTTCGGGCCACGAACCGGGGAAAATCACTGCCAGTAATCCTCGGTCTCTTCCTGATTTGGGCCTAATTGCACATATTTTGCCCAGATTTGCTTAGATGTTTGTGCCAAATTCGCTCATTGGAGGATGGTTTTACGCGAGGTTCTTCGTGTTTGAGTGCTTTTCATGAATAACTCCTCGATCATATTGCCATGGACGACCCAATAGGAGATGAGCAACCTACATTGGAGCAACATCACACCAAATCTCATCTGCATAATTCACCAATCTGAAAACAAACCTTGGCCTTCTTGTTGACTTTGATATTCCCACAATCATTCAGCCAATGTAGTGTGTATGGTTAAGGATGCTTGATGGTGCTCAATCCCAACTTCTTGACTGCATCCAAGCTAATCACATTAATGCAAATACCACCATCGATAACCACATACAACACCTTCCCGTCAACAAGCAACGAGAGTGGAAAAGATTATCCCTCTGCTCCGTCTCTGTGTAAGCTTCAATAGATTTCACTCCAAGAAGTTTACCTATTGGAGGTTCTTCAGCCTTGATGTGCTCATCTACATCGTCATCATCAGAATAGAGGTCAAGTCCCTACTTCATCGGCTTCTCTTCATACTCCTCCTCATAAAATTACTCTCCATTTCGCAAGACAGAGTCTACTTGTTGGGGCATTGGTTGGCCTTGTGAGCTCGACCAAATCACTTGAAGCATTGGATGTTTCCAGTTGATCCTTCATTCCTAGTTTGGATGACTTGGGTTGTGTTCCTGGCAGTTGGCTTGTCACCTTCTTGCTTAGGGTGAGTCAAGGTAGTCTCAGGAGTGCTCTCTGCAATAGGTTTGGGTGAAGATGGGTCCTTCTTCCCGAGCTCAACTTCACCTCTTCTCCACCATCATGGCCAAATGCACCACTTCTTCCAAGTCCACACTGACGACGCTCTACTTCATTTATGATTTTTCTATTGAGCCCATGTAGAAAACGAGCAATGCTTCCTTGTCTTCCCTCACATCTGCTCTCATCATGAGCAGTTCCAGCCCCTTGAAGTACTCATCAACAGAGCGCAACCCTTGCCAAATTCCTTGCAAGGCATCATAGAGATCTCTCTGATAGAACAGAGGCACAAAACGATCACGCATCAAGCCTTGGAGTTCTACACAAGTAGAAACTACAAGCTTCAACTTCCTTCTTTGTCGTTGCTGAATCTTTTCCCACCAAACTGCTGCATAATCTTTAAACTCATAGGTGGCTACAATAACTTTCTGATGCTCTGGGTAAGGATTGCACTGGGAAAACATAGGCATCTTCCTCTCCCAGTCGAGGTAGCTGATGCACTATTAGTTCCTTGAAACAATGGGATTGAGAGCTTAATCCCTCAAACCGGTTCAACACCATAACCCCCTGCTTCTAGTGGTCTTCCTCCGTACTCATAATAATCATTCTCATAGTCATTAAATGGAGTTCTTTTCTGCGGGATTGCCTGAAGACGTTGCTCCGTGTATTGGCGCCTCTACACCTGCCAATCTAGGGTCTCATAAAAAGTTTGGAAAACTCGATCTATTATGGGACCCTCTCGGTACGCGACTTTAGTCTGATTTGCGACATCTGCTGGATTCCCTGGTGGTAGTAGAGTACCAATTGGTTCTGTCTCCAACTTGGTGATTAGGGTATCCAGTCGTTGATTTGTCTCAACCAGCTGACCTTTGGCAGTGTCCTGCTGAGCGTGAAGCAAGGCTCCCATCTGCGCCATTAGCGCAACAAGCAGCTTCATAGCTTCTGCAAGATTCTAGCTTGTTCTTCTATTGAGGTTTCTTCTTCGGAGAGTGATCCTTCCTCGTCTCTGCGTTCTGCAATAGGATATTTGGACCTTATTTCACAAGCAACAGAGCCCCTCGCCTTCGATCTCACCACTAGGTAGAACCAGGGCTCTGATACCACCTAATACGAGCACATAACCTGTACCGGTAGTTATCAAAGTACGCGGCTTCAAAAATGAACAATAGAATGGTTGTTTAGGGGTTTTTTTGTGGGAATAGGTTGGAATTGAAAGTGCAATCTCAACACGAATTGGGAGAAGGCTCAATCAATATTAAAGATAGAATTTCGGCCACAATCAAGGGGAAAACTTGGTTGATACAAAGAAAAGTTCAAGCCTCAAACTCAAAACCAAGGTATAAATCAATATTCTGCTAAAAACTAACCCTAAAACCCGAGTTCAGCCTTTATATAGGTCTGAGCAAATAAAGATAACAAAAATAATAAAAAACACAAAATTCCGTCAGTCAGACCCGAAACCCGGGCAAAATACCCGACGGTGGAAAGTCACTGCCAGCAATCCCCATCTCAATGGTGGAGTCAACCAGCAAGCGAGAGGATGGAGATGATGTTGATAGGCAGCGACGGATGGAAGTAACTAGTCCAGGTAATCGTGGCAAGATGCAGAGACGGTTGAGACCCTGAATTCTACCAATGGAAGTGGAAGAAGCAGCGCCAGCCTCTTCGAAGCTACGGCTACGAATCAGCGGAACGACACTTTTACCAGCCAAAGCAAGCGGAGTGGAAGCCGAGTTAGCACCAGAAGGATTGATCTGACGCTCGTGTTGAATCACCAAAGAGAACATACGAGTAATCGGCGAAAGAGGCTCCATGAGCAAGATCTGGCTTCTGATTTGAGAGAAAGTATCATTGAGGCCTTTGAGGAACCAGATAATCTGATCAGACTGTTGGTATGTACGGACTACGGTGAGCGCACCGCAAGAACACCTCGGAGTGCAGGAAAAGGTAGGGAACGACCTACGAAATCGAGTGAAGAATTCGCTCACTGTAGCCGTTCCTTGCTTGAACGAGAAGACCTCGCCCTGGAGATCTGAAATCCGAACCAGACTGGCCTCGCTGAACCGATCTTGCAGATCTTTCCAAACGTCGACCGCAGAATCAAACCAGAGAACACTATGAGCGATGTCTGGAGCCAAAGATATGTAGATCCACCCAAGCACCATGACGTTGCATCTCTGCCAAGCTCCGTGAAGAGGATCGCCAGGTGATGGCGGAGTAACTGCAAGATCGATCAGAGAAAGCTTGTTCTTCGCCAGAAGTGCGAGACGCATCGATCTCGCACATGCGTAGTAATTGTTGTCGTTGAAGACGACGGTGACCAGAGCCGATGACGGATTATCGCCGGGATTTAGGAAGTACGAATGGCTTGGATGGAGCAATCCGGCAGGAGGGACGAATGAGAATTTCGCCGGATTCGCCTGAGTCAATTGCGCCGATTGATTCGCCATGAGAGAGCAGTTGTGAGAAAGAGGAAGCGGAAGTTTCGAAGAAAGAAAACCCCAGAACGAAAAAGGGAAAAGTAAGAGAGAGATCAAGAAATTGACTCCTCTGATATCATGTTGATATCTTGAAAAGAAAATGTCTACTTGTATTATTAATAAAAACGTAAAAATACACTGCCTTATTTACATGTATATATACAAATTGTATATTGTAAAATAACAGAACAATACTTACAATAGAGTCCTCCAACAGAAGGAGAAGAGTTGTGCCATCTTTCTTGACATGAAGCTGTTGGCACTCTCTTTTCCTAATCTTGGACAACATGCCGGTTCTGGTCGTTGTCTTTGTCTGAGTTTGTGGAGCGAAGGATGTGGTGGATATGAGGAATTTTACAATGCTATATAGCATTGGTGCTATATGTTTTTGCTTTTATAGTACAACTTGAAATTGTACTTTTAACGTTATGGTACAACTTCAGATTGTACCTATACTTTTTGTACAAATTCTTCTATGGTACAACTTAAACTTGTACCTTATGTGATGGTACAGTTTCAAGTTGTAAAGTTGTACCATAACATAATGATACAAATTCTTTTATGGTACAACCTAAACTTATACATTTAATATTATGGTACAACTTCAAGTTGTACATTAAAGCACCAATGCTATATAGCATAATAGAAGTGGTCGGTGGATGATATCGTCTGGAAGTTGAGAGATCTTGTCTCGCTCATCCCAAAACATATATAGCTCGCCATCCTGTATATAAGA